AATGCAAATTAACGTTTCAAAACCAATCTCAAATTTTGGTTTTCCTTCTGTGAGTCAAATTTTGGATTATTAATAAGAGAATGATCTCATTTCTTTCTCGGATGGCAAATGGTTTATTCTTAGACCTAGGTATGGACTCATCTATACTCTACAGTCTCTCTCTGTTAAAGTCACTGATACCAGCTTTCTCAACTGGTTCACTTTGAGCCTGGTTAGAAACCAAAAGAAAGCAACTTGATGGATTAACAGGGAGAACTAGGGAAACTGAGCCATTGGAAGTGGAGTGCTTATGCTTGATAAGCCACAGAGACTCTGGTTTTCTATTCAGAGAAATTGTATTTCTCATATAGCTTTACACACAAGACCAACATTTGGGTCTTAAAAGCCATAACTGAGCCAAGCACAGTGTCTCATGCCTGTAATCACAACACTTTGGGAGGCCGAAATGGGAAGATGGCTTCAGCCCAGGAGTTCGAGACCAGCCTAGGCAGCATGGTGAAACCTTGTCTCTACGAAAAATACAAAAATGGTGGTACATGCCTGTAGTCCCAGCTACTTGGGAGGCTAAGGTGGAAGGATCACTTGACCCTGGAAGATCAAGGCTGCAGTGACCTGTGATTGCATCACCTCACTCCAGCCTGGGTGACAGAGTGAGACCCTGTCTCAATAATAAATAAATAAAGTAAAACAAATAAAGGCCATAATTCAACTGTTGTAATTGTAGTTCTCTCTGAAGTGAATGAATTTTTTCCACTCATCCTGGAATTCTCACTGTTGCTATATAAGAAGAAAGCTTCAGACTCTGGCCACACTGGGGATTTTGGTGGGATGCCTATCGGCACTTTCACTGAATGTGCAAGAGTGAAAGACTTCCTAGGATTCACCTGCCTTCATAGTGAATTACCCAGCCCCTTGCGTTATCCCTTTGTCTTACTTTTAGCGATCAAACAGCATATTACACAGACCCTGGATAACATAAATCCATAGTATCACTGTTTATTTAGCCCCCAAAAGCACTATGTATCCAAAGTATTCATTATTAAAACCACATCTTTGATGCCACTTATTCCATCAGAATTCCTATAAAATTCATAATTTATTATACTGAAGGGAACATATATGTATACTTTTTCTGGTGCTAATATTTAGTTTTGTATATGGTTAATTTTACTTCTATAAATAAACTGCAAAGTATAGGGGTCAGTATAGGGGTCACACTTTATCTTCTTTTCATATTTCTTTGTTGTGGGAAAGTTTTGGAGGTAATACAGACCTTCCCCCAGTGAAATTAATTAAATGATCAGAAAAAAACTCTCCAAATATCTAGTGGGTAAGAATAAAAAGTCTAATAGCTTAGACTTTTTTTGTGACTTAAAAACTTTAGTGGAATATGAGGAGGGTCCAATTTAAAGTAACCCTTTCATTGTTTTTGTTTGTTTGTTTTTGTTTTTTTAATAGAGACAGAGTGTTGCCATGTTGCCCACGCATGTCTCTAACTCCTGGGGTCAAGTGATCCTCCTGCTTTGATATCCCAAAGTGCTAGATTATAGGGATGAGCCACCACACCTGGTCACGATTCTTAAAACGATGAGATCAGGGGGTGGAGAGGCTGTATTATTTCATTCTCACATTGCTATAAAGAAATATCGGAGACAGGGTAATTTATAAAGAAAAGAGGTTTGGCCGGGTGTGGTGGCTCACGCCTGCAATCCCAGCACTTTGGGAGGCTGAAGTAGATGGATCACCTGAGGTCAGGAGTTCGAGATCAGCCTGTTCAAAATGGTGAAACCCCGTCTCTACTAAAAATACAAAAATTAGCTGGATGTGGTGGCGAATACTTGTAATCCCAGCTACTCTGGAGGCTGAGACAGGAGAATCACTTGAACCCTGGAGGCAGAGTTTGCAGTATGTAGAGATTAAGCCACTGTACTCCAGCCTGGGCCACAGAGCGAGACTCTGTCTCAGAAAACAAACAAACAAACAAAAACGTTTAATTGGCTCATGGTTCCGCATGCTGTACAGGAATCATGGCAGGATCTTCTTCTGGGGAGGCCTCAGGAAACTTACAATCATGGTGGAAGGTGACGGGAAAGCACGCCACCTTACATGGCCGGAGCAGGAGGAAGAGAGAGACAGGAGAGGTGCCACAGACTTTAAAATAACCAGATCTCTTGCGAATGGTATCAGGGGAACAGCACCAAAGAGAGGGTGCTACCCCCATGGTCAGATCACCTCCCACCAGGCCCCACCTCCAAAATTGGGGATTACAATTGAACATGAGATTTGGATGGGGACACAGATACAAACCATATGAGAGGCATAGGCATACATGTAAGGAAAGACAAATAGCAGAATGTTAATTTGTGCATGTTAAAAACTGCTAGCCAATTTTGTTGCTTGGAAGTTTTTTTCTAAAAATCAACCTTTTTCTTTGAGGTGCCTTCATCCATTTCTTCAAGTTGTATATCAAAAATTTCAGTCAGAGAGATGCTAATTACTAAAGATGACTCAGGAAGTTCACATGCAGATTTGGGACTAGAGCCCAAAAATGCAATCCCCGCCATGGATTTTAAACAGTGACAGTTTCCTGAAATGCTGGTTATAGGTAGTAGACATTACCCATTTATGCTTCTTACACTATCATAGCAAATAAAGTTTATTTATATCACAAAGATGCCAGAGAAATTATGCTGAAATATTTTAACATAAAACAATTCTGAATTTCTGAAGTATTACCCTGAAGCACTCTCTTAATATCTAATATTATCCCTTCCACAGTAACTGTTACTTGCCTTGCTCTCAATATATTATACACTTTTAAGATCTACTATGTTTACTGAATTATATTTTTGAAACAGGGAAAAGAAAAAAAATTCACATAGGAATCATCATAGGGAATGGTATCTATTATAACAACTTTTTTCTTTCAATAAACAAATTATTAATATATGCTCTTCACGATATCACTTCTACTTTGCCAACATTTGCCCCCTTAAATGATTTTAACAGTAAAATTTTCTGTTGACTAATATAAAAATTATAATAGTATGGTTAATTGTAAAAAGATCTAACTTCAGTTTAGGTCTTATATCTCATTCTCATTAATAGTTTTTTAAGTAGCTCAGCAGATAACTCATTTAAACTTTAACATGCCATTTTCCACATTTTAGTTATTAAAAGAAAATATAGCTATAATAAATTATAGCATTTGTAATAAATACCTAAATTACATATAATAAATGATATCTCTACTTATGTCAAAATATCAATTTCACATATTTTCATCTTTAATATTACCTTTGGAAATAGAAGAGTGATATATCACTATGTAAATGTAAATAGGATAGTGACTGATTACATTTTGAAGATGAGAAAACTAGGTCAGAGAACAGTTAATGACCAATTTTGGATTGAACCCAGGTGTTCCAGGGCTGTATAAGCCATCCCTGGGTGTTATTTTCTTTTCTCTAATTTGTTACCTTACTTCTGAAAGAAAACTAGGGGATGGTAGAATTGAGAAATATGTTTTTGCTAGTGGAGGAGAGGGAAATCCCATGATTTAACAGCGTGGTAATGTTTCTTAGAAGAGAAGGATGAACATGAGTGGCAACATGTATTATTGGCAAATCTACTGGGCAGATGAAGTCATTAGCCCTATATAGGCTCATTAAGTGCTAACGGTGATCATAATCATCCGTTTGTGATTTGGAAGAACTGTGCCTGCATCCCCCTGAAAGGCTTTTTGTTTTGTAGGTTCCTTTTTATTCTGCTTCCTGAAACTCTATGCCAATTGATGTTTGCATGTTTCTGAAATGGTGACAAGTCTTGTAATTGATTCTCCAACTATGCTGCGCTGTGCGCCGAGCTGGCAGGCACCCCACTTTCAGGTCACTTTACACGTCACACCACCTAGAGCGAGCCAGGAACCCATTCAAAGGGCAATGGGATGCCAATTATTTTCTTTCCTGGCATTTACGTGAAAATATAGGAGAGAGCCTGCTAAAATGGAATTGAGAGTTTGGTTCCCTTAATAATTCCTATAGCCTCCAAGTTGGTGGACTATGGAAGAATTCAGAACCTGAAGCAAGTAAGGTGAGGAGGTTGAAAATAGAGATTTAGCCAAACAATCCGTAAAGTGAGGAGATCAAAAAATAGAGCTTTGTGAAATCAGCAAATTTAGTGCTTACTAGGTGCCAGGCAATATTTTCAGCATTTTACATCTACTAATTTGTTTATGCTATGCCACAACTCTTGAAAGTAGATATGACAACTTATCCCATTTTGCAAATAAGAAATGTGGAGCCAACAGCCACATAGCTGGTAAATGACAGAATCACACTTTGAATTTAGGTTGGCTCTGAAAGCTAGGCTTTTAATCATTTTGCTATAGGTGGAATTAAAGATTCTGTATGAGTCCACTTTAATATAGAATTCATAGCTTCTAGGAATGTATAATTACTTAGTAATAACCAGGAAAGCAAATGATGACCATGATTCAGAGAAATAGAAATGTGAGGCCATCCTCTCTAAATCCCTTCATCCCACACTTCCTCATCTAACACCACCACAGGATATTTTGTACCTTATCCTACTTCTACAAAGGAATGCATCCTAATAATTTCTGGCTTCATTTATGAAAATAGCAACTTTAATTGATCTCTACTTGCCTATGTAATTTGTGATGTCCAAGAATACTCCAAGGCAGAAAAATGCCTAAGACCACTAGCATAATTTTGTAAGAAATCTAGATAGGTAGACAGCCAGTCTTAAGCAACATACAACGAACAACCCGACCCATGGAGAGAGGTAACCCATTCGTGTAGTTTCTTCTTCTCTCATCTCCACCCAGGATCATGATTTTATCTTCCACGTTTAATAAAAGATCATCCAATATCAGAACTTAGAAAACCGCCAATAGATAAAGCAAATACATTTAGGCAGTGCTTGAATTTATAACATAATTGAAGCTATTATGTCTTATTTCGAAATTAATCATTTACCTTATGAGTCTACGTAGGCTCCATACTCTTCAGAACCATTTGTGAAGTTTAGAGTAAGTGGTCTGTAACCTAGAAGGGAGACAAACAAATCCACAGTTCAAATTCAGCATGAAAAGATTATCAATGAAATTGAAAATGCATTAGCATGTGCATTTTTTTTTATTAGATACAAATGATGAAGGCATTTACCAATTTGCAGATACAGAGAGAACAGAATTTAGGTGAGATGGATATTAGCGCTTGTGTCCCTGTGTTTTAAGTATCAGCTCAGACAAAAAAGTGAAAAGATCTAAAATGATTCCTGGAACTGAACAATGTGACTGAACCCAGAGCGGGGAGCAGGCTGCCACCCACCTGGGGAGACGGGTTAATAAAAAGATCAATTGCACTCTTATCTTGTTAGTCATTAGACAGTCCATTGATGCCACCTGCTTACTTTAAATGTAAACGTGCAGGCCAACCATTAGAAAGCTGCCACTATTCTTCGGAACCCTGTTTCTTTCTGGTTTAGTGATGGGAGTGAAAAGGCCAAACTCTGACCCTTAGGAACTGAGCATCTGTTCCTCCAGCAAACGCAGATGTGAGGGCAAATCAGAACGCAAATTTTTACAGGCAGAAAAAATGAATAGACCAAGATATGAGTAGTTTATAGAGTTAATATCAACACAAACTGAAAAAAACATTTTACATGTAAAAACATAAAATGACTCAGGGGATTTACTCTCCTGTTAGGTAATTACATCCCTTAGATCTGCAGTGGCCATATATTAAATATACATTTTGTTTGTTTGCTTTACTGGTCTTTGTGAACCACTGACTCTTTTTTAGTAGTCAATTGTTCTTTCCCAAAGTATAAGGAAAGGTTTACCTGTCTCGCATTAGTATCAGTTGCCAGTGATTAAAAGGTTCAAAGGTTAATGTTACATATTTCTTAAGGCAAAGTAAATACCTGCTCACCATTGGTAAAAAGGGGTTATTATACATTGGCAACCACTATTGTCTACTTCTCTCGGCTTCTGCAAACTCCAGCTACAAGTGGGTCTCCGGGCCTTTCCTTGTTCTCTGACACTGCCTACCTGGGCATCAGATAGACGCCTGGTAAGAACACTCCAGATCATCCCACCTTTGTAGCAGATAAATACCTATTTTTTCTTTTAACAAAATGAGTATATTAATTTATCTCATTTATTTTTATAGTATACATATTTATTATTTATTGATTATTACTATCAAGCAATATTTGGCTAACAAGGAGTATATTTCTACCTGCTTTGAGCATTCCTATTCTAGTAAAAAATATTTTGCAAGCAATAAAATACTAATTTAGGGTAGGAATGGTGAGATGCAGCAATCAGTTACAATTTCTCAAAGCAGTGAGATGGTGAAGCTAACTTGTGGCATGTTGACTCTTTACTACTCTCCTGCTCATTTTACATTCCAAAAGTCAAAATATTATATGTAGGTTCTGAATGCTTAAAATGTATTCCTAACTAAGCAGTGTGTAGGTGGCTGGATTTCTATTAATGGGTTTCAAACCAGCAATAGAAAATTAGGCACTGTCTCTGACCTAAAATAGGAATAAGGTTAATCAAGATATGACTACCTATTGAAAATATCATTCAGTAACTTTTTTTGGTTGTTTGTTTTGAGGTGGAGTTTCACTCTTGTTGCCCAGGCTGGATTGTAATGGCATGATCTTGGCTCACTGCAACTTCCGCCTCCTGGGTTCAAGCGATTCTCCTGCCTCAGCCTCCTGAGTAGCTGGGATTACAGGTGCCTGCCACCATGACTTGCTAATTTTTTGTATTTTTAGTAGAAATGGGGTTTCACCATGTTGACCAGGCTACTCTCGAACCCTTGACCGCAGGTGATCCACCCACCTTGTCCTCCCAAAGTGCTGGGATTACAGAAGTAAGCCACCATGCCCGACCACCATTCAGTAAACTTTTAAACAGCAGAATTCCCAGATAGGCTAACCGTTTATACATTTATACATTTGAGAGTATAGATTAGTTATTAGTTGTTTCTTGAATTCAAAGAGTTTGTAAAGAATATGCATTTCTTACACTTGGTTACATGTTTATATTACTGCTGAGAGAGCAAGAGAGTAGGTTTTTGGAGACCAGTAATTTTTAGTTTGTCAGCATACTGTAAGTTTGACATGAATTGAAACAGGGTAAAAAACTACCTTGTGAATGCAAGGAATAGCCTTTGCTATCTATCAGATTTGTGAGTGAGGCTGTGAAACCTGGTCTTAAAATGGTAGATGGGAAATTGACCTATTTTCTTCTACAATGTGACCTTCCTGTCCTACTCTTCTGAGGGCTCATGGATAGGTCCTTGTTCTTGGCAAATCAGCATCAAAATGACAGTCATTGGATGCAGTCCAAAGCAAATCTGACTAATACTGAATTGTGCTCCTGAGTACCATGTTTTATTGTGAGGGTCCAACATAACTATAAAGGTTCTATGACAGGTAACAAACGAAAATTTCCTAGATAGACTCTTTTAGGTTTCACACCGCTCTTGGTTAATTAAGTACATTTATAGCTGGGGATAAAACCTTAGGCTATGGTTGAAAATGCTCAAAAAATAAAGTAGCCTTTCAGTTGTTTTCTTGCCAATTTCTTTATTTCATGATTAGGTAATAGATGTTATATTAACATTTCAAATAAATGGTGAACATTTTATTGTGTAATTTTGTGAAAGAGGGATATTTTCATTTGTAATAAAAAAGCTCATCTTTGTAGGAGGAATTAACACTGGCTATCTAACTATGTCCGTTTTAAGGAGACAAAGGTAATTGAGTAATAGTTGATTTTTGAAGTGGTGGTTATAGCTTTTGAACTGATAGCCAGACTTCTTTTAAAAAGGGCTTTATGTTTGAAAATGAAGCATTCGAAGAATTTTTAATATTTTCTAAAGAGCTTAGATACATTTGTAAGGTTCAATGAATAGCATAATGAGTAATTCCAGCATTTTTGGAAGTTGAGGAGGGAGGATTGCTTGAGCCCAGGAGTCAGAGACTAGCCTGGCGAACATAGTGAGACTCCGTCTCTATAACAAATGTAAAAATTAACCAGGCATGGTAGTGTGCATCTATAGTCTCAGCTACTCGAGGCCGAGGTGAGAAGATCACTTGAGCCCAGGAGGTCCTGCAGTGAGCTATGATCGCACTACTGCACGCCAGCCTGGGCAACACAGTGAGACCTTGTCTCAAAAAAAAAATGGAATATTCTAGTCTGGGAGTGGTGGCTCATGCCTGTAATCCCAGCACTTTGGGAGGCCAAGGCAGGCGGATCACGAGGTCAGGAGTTTGGGACCAGCCTGGTCAACATAGTGAAACCCTGTCTCTACTAAAAATACAAAAAATTACCTGGGCATGGTGGCACACGCCTGTAATCCCAGCTACTCAGGAGGCTGAGGACTGAGGCAGGAGAATCACTTGAACCTGGGAGGTGGAGGTTGCAGTGGGCCAAGATTGCGACATTATACTCCAGCCCGGGTGACAATGCGAGACTCTGTCTCAAAAAACAAACAAACAAAAAAGCCCCCAAACAAACAAACAAACAAAAATTGAATATTCAGTGTGGGCTAGAACTTTCATAGAAGTAAGTTTGTACTCTTAATTGAGGCCTTGTGTTCTGGGATGGGGATATTAGACATTAGGTAATCGATTAGGAACACTGATGATGTTTGAGCAGGGAGTAAATTAACCAGAAATCCAATTTAGGTAGATGAAGTGTATGCACTATAGATCAAAACAAGGGCTGAAAATGGATTTATTCAATAATTAACCTAGCAAATAATTTTATCAATATTTAAAATTTAATAGTACTATTTTCAGTAGCAATAAGCATATTAATAATATGCCATGTTCATACTATAGTAATATTTAATAATAGTACTAAATTTACTAGTAACTAGTACTAAGTAGTACTATTAGGTGCTGAGGCTACAGAGGTGAACTAGTTGGTAAAAGTCTCTGATGTCATGGAGGGAAGACACAAAACATCACACAAACAGGGATTGAGAGAGGGGGGAGAAAAAAACATGTGTTTTGAATGTCTAACTCTAGAAGAATGCTTCTTGTTATGTTTAAGCTTAGTCTAAAACTGTGAGGAAGATAGTAGGCTGTTGTTACAGTCCAGACAAGAAAAAGATTAATGAGAACCTAGGCTAGGCAGTAGCAGTGGGAATTAGAAGGAAGAAAAAGATGCAAGAGGTATTTCAGAGGCAATCAATAGGAATTGGCAATTGCTGAGATGTGCAGTAAGGGAGAAGGAAGAGACATAGATAAATTAGAAACTTGGAGCCTCACAAAAGAAATTGGGTTGCTATTAACAGAAATATGGATGTCAAAAGAAAGAACTAGTCTGACGGGTAATGAATTTGGGTGTGGTGCATTGTGTTTGATGTGTCAAGAAGTGTCTTGGAGATGGCAGTAAGTAGCTGGAACTGTAGGATTATAAATTAGGGGAGAAACTAGAGCTAGAAATTTTGGCATCCTTCCAATGGATAGGGTAGTTAAAATCTGTGGGACTGTCTAAATTCACCAAACATAAGGAAGCCTGAGAGTCTCCATAAAGGTGGGAATTCTGGGAAATGGCATAATTAGGAGAAAGCTCAACCAGAGTTAAGGCGAGTAGGAATGATGTCCAACAGTTAAGTACTGATTCCTACGCGATCATCCTGCACAGAGCACTTCACAGAAGCTAATTTACTTGATTTTCACAACGTCTAGGAAGTAGTGATAACTACAGGAGGCAGCCAAATGCTTAGGGGTGGGTACCCAGTGAAACCCCGTCTTCAAGCCGAAGACAGTTTAAAGCCTGAAAGCCAAGCTACAAGTTAAATCATCAGACTGTGTTAAGAACTTGTCTTCCTGTTTGACGTGCTTTCTCCTGGTTGATCCTCACCCTTCACCTATTTTAAATATACCTACCCTTTCCTAATTGGTTTTCTACACTGTCATGCCCACCTTTGAGTGGTATCTTCGCTTTAGCCTTTTTTGCATATTGACAAACCAGTCAGCATGCACTCCCCATCCTGTGCCTTTAAAGACCACA